AAGGTTCAAGAGAAAGCATCTCCTAAACTAAAGGATTCTGGGGCCTGCCTTTTCTGTCCTTATAATGCCAGGTCCCTTTTGGTCACAAAAAGAGAAGGTTATTATGGCAATATCTGTTGCCATTGGATTTGGTATCTTTCTTCTTACCTCTACCTCTCTCAGGGTTGTAAGAGGTTGGCAGGACCCCATAGCAACAAGAGAAAAATAGCAGACTGAGAGGAAACAATCCTCTTGTAGTAGCTGGTGTCTGCTTCGTGGTACTGTTTTGAGGGGTCATATGGGAAAATTTTTATTACATACTTTACGGAATAATTTGCATTAGGTCAAATTTATATGCCCTCAGGAGTGCCTATAAAACATGATCCCTAATTTCAAGCGTAGACATGGCAAATACAAGAAGCAGATAAAATAATTACAAACAAAGGTGTCTTGTGAGGAAGAACTGCATGTTAGAAACAATTCATAATTTACAAGTTGCTATCTTACCTTGCAGAACTGTGAGCTGGAAAGAATCACTTGAATGACACGTTTAGTCATTTAGTCGGGTGAATAAAGGCAACTGGGTACCTAATATTTTGGGGGCAGACCACTACTCTCCCTAACATTAAGGAGCCATTCATTCTCTTTATGGTGACTTTAACAATATGGTAAGTAATACTTATTGAACATCTATTACATCCCAGTTACTTTGCCCAGAGCATTATCTGTATTATCATCCATTCATTCCTTCAGGCCCAGTTCACTGTTACCTCTTTTGACCCACCCAAGATTTATAACCCCAGGCTGAATTAATAATTCCATTACCCATTAATTGATAGTAACACTCTACTAATTCTGTTAACCCCTTTAATGGGCTCCATAGCCTACATTTCCAACTCTGCCACTATGTACTGGGCTCCATAAGAGCAGTGCCCATGTTTCATTCCAATTTCCTAGTATCTGGTAGTTCCTAAGTACCATATTCCGTTGAGTGAAAGTGGAGTGGAACTTCATGACTTCAAACACATTGAGGAATCATGGAATTCAAAACAAAATTTTTTTTAAAGTTTATTTATTTTTTGAGAGAGAGAGAGAGAGAATCCCAAGAATGCTCTGCATGGTCAGCGCAGAGCCCCCTGCAGGGCTCAAACCCACCAACTCTGAGGCCATGGCCTAAGCAGAAATAAAGAGTCAGATACTTAACGGCCTGAGCCACCCTGGTGCCCCAGAACCATGGAGTTGTTAAGCAAGAGAGTACTTAGAAACTTCGCAAACTACAAGCTTCTTTTCCATGAGAAAAATTAAGTTAGAACAGGTAACTTACCAGAGGTCACATAAACCTGGTAGAATGAGATTAGAATCCAGTTCTCTAGCTTTTCAGCCCCAAATAGATGCCACCAAAACACAACTAAATATCTTTATCTCCCAATCTCTTAGCTCCACCCAAATCCTATCAGCAATGGGCCTTTGGACCTTCAGGCTATTTCTGTGATACATATTTTCTAAAAGAATCCACTTTTACAAACAGTTTTTCTTTCTTTAAAAAAATTTGTTTTAAACGTTTATTTTTGAGAGAGAGAGAGAGAGAGAGAGAGAGAGAATGGAGGAGGGGCAGAGAGAGAGAGAGGGAGACACAGGACCCAAAGCAGGCTCCAGGCTCTGAGCTGTTAGCACAGAGACCAACATGGGGCTGGGGACTCACAAACCAGGAGATCGTGACCTGAGATCTGAGCCAAAGTCGGACGCTTAACGACTGGGCCACCCAGGCGTCCCCAAATATCTTTTCTTTCATGGCTCCCCATTCCAAACAAAGCCCAAACTCCAAATTGGCTGGCTTGTCCTGTAGCATCAGTATAAAAGTTGGGGGGTACCTTCTGTCTATATTTACACTAACAAGCTCTTTCCACAAGCACCCTTTGATCCACTCAAATCCAAATGCTTGTCAACACACACACCATACTTTTTATCATTTCTTGAGACATGCTGTTCATTCTGACTAGAGTATCCTTCTTCCTTATCAACCTGGGAACTTTAATGATCTGTTCCCTTTCTGGACTGGGAGCTTCTGGCATAGAACAGAGAGAACTGGCTTTAGTCTCACACAGCATTTGAATGAGTGGATTTTGTGTCCAGCACCTAGCGGCACAGCTCTCCATAAAGCTCACTGAATGGCTCTGTGTTTGGAAAATTACAGAAATGTAACTTACTCTTCAGAGTTGTAAGCAACCCTTTACCAAAACTTTTCTGTTTGGAGGAAAAATAAGTAAATATGTTGGCTCATTTAGTCTTTTTTTTATTTCCTCCTTTTTTTTCCTTTTTAGTCTGGTTCATCTGTTATGACTGCCATTCTCACCCCCTCTGTGAACTCCACATTCTCCCAGCACCCCTGCCCCTGGACACTTGTGGGAGAGAAATCCACAAATTCCTCTGGGGCTCCATCACTGGAGCAACTTCTCAGTAGCTGGAGGAGATCTGGGCTGCAAACAGGAAGTTTTTGTACTTCTGGCTACTTTATGCCTGGGGCAAAAACTGCAGCGTCCACCTGGACACTGTAAAAGAGAATGGTAGAACAAAACTAACCTTCATTATCCCCATCTGAAGTTTTTTTGTGTGGATGTTCTGACCCAGTATCATCCAGGGATTCTTTTTCCAGAACTGTTGTCTAGCATGCACATCAGAATAGCCCCGCAGTAAAGTCAGGTTTGAGCCCCCCTAACTCCCTTTCTTCACTTTAAAAAATCTGGAGCAGGACATTTAAAATAATGGATTTTGGATTTAAAATTTTTTAAAGCAATCCGAAGGATTGTTGCCTTTGGTAGGCTGAGGGCCAAAGAGAAGCAGAGACTGGTCCCCTAATCTCTAAATCCTTTTTTCCTCCTTCAATGCCCTAGACCTCATCTTGCCCCTTTGGCTCCCAGGGGGCAAGAGGCAGTTTTCCTCCGCGGGCGTGCCTGGCCTCGTCAACGACACCCATTAGTTTCCAGGCTTCCAGGGCAGAGGGGGACTCCCGACCACGCGTCCAGGGCCCTTCTCCAAGCGTAGGGGCCTCGAGGTCCACGCCGGTCCCAGCGCAGGCAGAGGGGATGTGGCCAGTCCTGGGGATGACCTCAGCCTGCCTGCCCCTAAGGCACCCCGGCCCCAGCCTGCGGGGCGGGTAGCCCAATGGGCAGCCTCGCTCCGGAGGCGGGCTCAGGCCGGAAGCCACCCCGCGGCACAGCGGCCCCGCGAGACGGCGCCCGCGCCCCCGCCCTCTCCGGCACGGGCTCCACGGCCAAGGGCGGCAGGGGCCAGCCCGCTGGGTCCCCGCCGCGCTCTTTGTCCTGGCCGCGCGCGGGCGGACGCGTGCGCCCCCCGGGTGAAGGGAGGCGCGGAGAGAGCGCGCGGGAGCGCGCAGGAAGAGCTCGCGCCCGCCGGGCGTCGGGGGCGC